ACACGAAACTCGCTGGCCCGAGTCGCTTGCGTTGTCCAACTGTCGTACAAAAGCCAACTCCCGACTCCACAGTATTGAACTTGATAAGGTATGGTTGGCCGATACATTCAAGTAGCTTTGCCATTGTCCGGCTCGTTAAAATTCAATCGTAGAGCCTTTTGTTCCTTCCACGTCGTCCTCCTTTCTCAAGAAACAAAGAGTTCGCCGCTTCTTATATGCCAGTTTCTTGGCGAATTCTGCGGATAGTTTGCGAAATCGAACCAAATAAAACGACTCGCATTTTGCATTATAAATTCCTCGCACTATACACTTTATTTTTGCCTCCTCCGTGCGCTCGCGTAGAGGAAAACTTTATCGAAACGGCAAAGTTTCCCAGCTAGCCTCGGACAAATAGAGAAGCATTGTTTCATAATTAAACTCGGTCGCGAATAAAAAAAAAAAAAAAAGAAGAAGAAAAAGAAGAAGAAAAAGAGGGAAAAGACGGAGAAGGAAAACTGCTGCTTGAAAGTTCTGCAGAGAAACAAGATTACTCGAGTTTGCGTTTTATGAATTCCGTCCCGCGAAGATTCCTCTCCCTCTCCCAGTGGAGCTGCTGCCGAGAGGCTGTACTATTGTCCGGACGTTATTATCCCGGCACGCGCGCGCGTCGCGTGTAGGGCGCGCAGAGCGGAAACAGTTAATTCGGTGATTTCCTATGGGCGCTTAACGGCCGGCCGCAATAACATTAGTTCGTGCCCGACTTTTCCGAGGCGCACAGCACGCAACAGCGATCCGTGCACGCACAACAGCGAAAGCTCTCGCGGCAGGGCTTTCCAACTTTCGACCGGCGGCGATTATTAAATGCTCTCCCCGCAAGCGTTAATAGAGTTTGAGGAATTCGTCTCGTCGCCGTGACATTAGCGCCGTTAAACACCTCCCCGACCGACTGCTCTAACTGTTATTTCCATGTTGCTTAATCTCTCTCGCGCAATTACAACTGGTTTCTTTGCCCTCGGCTTTATTTCGTTAAAATCCCTAGGTTATAATTAATCCGTGGAGGAAACCGACGTATACGGTTTCCGCGCTTAAGTATTTTGCCGGCTGAATTTATACGAGGCAATTAGCCCATTCGGAGCACCTGTATACGCGAGACGCGTACACTTTCGTCGAAATAGTTTTATAAGTGCATCGCAATAATCTCGGCGCGCTGCTAATTAAACAATCGTTTCGCTCGGAGCTTCGTAGCTTGTAATGAAAAATCAATGCAGCCCGCCGAGGCGATCGGCCAACAAAGCGGAGAATAGCCGGGGACCTGAGATTAGCGCAAGTCGCCGGAGGTGGAGCCGGGGTCGGTTTGACAAGAAGCAGCTCGCAGCGGCAAATACCGATATATCAGTTTCAATTGCTAATAAATCTGCTTATAACTAAGCCGTAATAACTTGGGTCCGAGGGGCTGTGCGCCGACCCAAATTCCAACAATTCCCTCGGCGAAGGTGCAGTAGCTGCTCGCCCCGGCAAACTTCATATCTTAGTGTTTACGCTGGAGTGCGCTCAGGCCGAAATTCCGCAGTGTTCGCGAGCGCAGGACACCTGATAACCCGCGAAGAATCCACCTCAAAAAACTTACATGCACGGCAGAGAATGCTAGCTCTCCTCCTGGAGCTCGCGAACAATCTCCCTTTCGACGATAACTCATCCGCCCTTGACGCCGCCCTGCAGCCCGACCCAAGGAAATTCCAAAAAGCAAAATATTCGACACATTCGAGACAGAGCGAGAGCGAGCTCGTGCCGCATTGTCGCGCGAGGCTTGCATAGCGCTTATACTTCTAATGGCCCCCGGGCGACTGCGCGAGCGAGCGACGCTTTGGCCCTTTTGAGCGCTGGCATACTTGCCTCTGAGAATGCTCGGAAGTACCCCTGTCCCGCAACTCCCAGTCGCTATGGTTGCTTCCATTATGCGCACTATACCCACTGCAGCTCGCCCGCGGACTGGGCAAAAGCACACGCGCAACTTTCATTTCCAAGACTCGCCGCGGGGCGCGCGAGCGCACCACGAGCTGCCTGCCAAAGCACTTATTCTTTTAGAGGAGCAACGATTACAGGCTCTATCGTGCCGACCGATCGCACGGAGCCTCTACGCTTCCGACGCGACTCCATCTCTCCCCCTCTGTTTGGTGCACTTACAGCTCGTACGTGCACTTGTTGGCTGATGTTATCGCCACCACGCTCAGGGATGTTCTCTCTCTCTCGCTCTCTCACAACTTAATGTTTCTTCGTAAATATCATTTTTTTTTCTTCTCTCACCGAAGCGTCAAAGCAACGATTATGTCTGTTCTATGCTAATGCGAGCAGAGCTTACTGGCTTGATAGCTCTCAATTTCGCGTGTAAACAGATTTAACGGCAGACCAGCGCAGTAGCTACTTATTTTTCGCACGCGCGTAGCGAGATTCTCCGCGAGGCTGCGAAACAATGTAAAGCATTCTCGGTCCCACCGCGTTAGGCGATAGAGGGGGAGGAAAAACAGCTTGATCCAAATTTAGAATATTCGAGGGAATGCCTTGTGGAAGGGATCTCCTCCTTTATGCAGCGCGGAAACATTCACTGCTCATTTATTGCAACGTACGTAATATGCACATCCTCGCGGGCAAACAATGTGTGGCGCGCGCGTGCTTCAAAGAATTAACGGTTGAAGAGTCATTCGCGCGAAAAAGACACTACGCGACGTGCACAGAGAGAGAAAGAGAGAGAAAGGGAGGGAGGAGCGGGGGAGAAGAGAAAGGGAAGTAGATAAAAGAAGATCTGAGCTTTTGAAAGCGGCCTGTGCTATCGCTGAATAGACAGGCGACAATCCATTTGGCGCGGCGTACGCGTGCAATCCAAATAAAATCCACGCTCGCTCGCACTCGCCATTATCCAACGAGCAGACGCAGTAACGGTGCACTCGAGCTAAATGCAGTTGGCGTATCGCAACCCCCCGTCCCATCCCCCGCAGGCCGCGCGCTCTTTCTCTCGCTCTCCATTACGCGTGCGGAGGTGTGTTGCGCGCGTGCACGCAAGACGCGGCTCTGCATTTACAGGCGCGTTACGTGGCGATGCACTGCAAACTGCCGAGCATCCACGCGAACTTGTACCTTTCGCTGCCTTCCTTTTTCTCCCTTCCACAAAGGCACGAGCAAAGTTGCAAAGTTTCTTTTGCTTCCTTCGAGAGGAAGCCTTGTTTTGGACATTCTCCAAAATCTTCTTGTTTTTCCGCAAATTCTTTGGTTTCTACGATTATTTCTTCAATTGTTTTTTTCTCACGTAATTGGATGTACTGAATCTCATTTTCATAATCAATTTGAAACCATGTCGCTCAAGTTGTGTCTCTGTGTTTAGTCTAGCAATTTCATGTCGCATTATTAATTCGCGAGGACGGAGCTTTTAATTTTTACTGAGGTGTTTCTAATTTTTTGGGTCAATATGCGCCGACGATGAGACGATTAATCATCGAGAAACGGTACACCACCAAAAGAGGATCCGAGGATTCTACATATGTAATCTTTAGCGAAGATGCGACAATGTTTCAGAACAAACTTATTTTTTCTAAGAAACTACTTATTTTTTAAAGCCGTATTCGATTTATTCGAATTTTTTTTTCATTTTGTTGAAACTTTTTGACAATTGGCTTCGTAACGTTTATTCGCCATATCATTTGCGTTATGAATAGTTACTCTCCCTGGAAAAATTATGATTGATCATTTTGAAATTGATAAATTTCAAAGGCAATCTTCTTATCATGAGCAACGACAGGTATTTTCAAACGTTCGCGTAGATATAATACCGGCGAGAAACTCGACAGACGCGATCGCGACAAATCTGGTGTAACTTCTTATTCAATGCTCATCGAAGTCAGCTGCGCTCACACGTTATTACCCAAGTATTTTAATAAGATCGAGACGACAAGCTCTCTGCTGTTGGCGTTGCGCTCGCGAGCTGCGAGTAACGCGATGCATTTTCGAAATAGTTGGCGAGAGATGCTCTCGCTAAGTTGGCCTGCTCGTCCCATTAGAACGTAAGAATTTAATTAAACGAAAAGACGTGTTTTTCCTCGCCGGTGAAGAGACCGTGAAAGCAGATTTTTCCGCTTTCTCAGGCATATTCGCTCCCCCCTCCCTTCCCTCTCCAGTCTTTCCCGCCTGCCGCGCGCACGCGAAGGTTATCAGGAATCGACTTAGCTCCCGCTCAGGATTTCGACTCTTTTTTTCGCCAGCAGTGTTATTTCGATCTGTTTCGGCAGGCAAAAGGATTGCCCGTACAAGCAGCTGCAGCAGCAGCGGTCAGCTCGTCCCGATAGGACTTTGATTTACGAGGCCACTCGCTTTTCTCCCGCAGTTACTGCGAATCGAGCGAGAGTGGTGCTTGCGTTTCCAAGCTCAACCGACGTGAAAACGCCCGGTTAACTGTTTACAATGTGAAAGCTAATACAACTGGAGCAGTTACCTTTGCTTCGCTCGCCTCGGAGCTACCTGCTATATGGTACTTCGGCATTGCAGAAAATCAATCGGATCTTGAACGAAGCGTCACGCCTTTCAAGCGCGGTATGAAACTTGAACATCAGAAATTGACGGCATGCTTCTACCGCTGAGAATTTTCCGTCTCCTTTTTTCACGCGGTAGCTGTCTCTTGTCGCTACTTCGAGAAAGCGCGAAAGTCGCAAGCGAGACGTAGTTTCAAGGCTAACTTTCCCGTGAATTCCATTATGGCGCTTGAATGCTCCTTTGATTTTTTGGGAGTCTTCTATAGAAGAGTTGTTGTCCCAAACTCCCTCTGCACTTCCCTCGTTTGCACCGAGCTTTTAAAAAAGAATGTGCGACATATTCTCTCTACTTATTTAATATTTATTTATAAAATAGCACCTCTGTGTCATTCTTGTAAGTCGCTAGCAAAAGTAAAGCAGACATTCAATTTCGTTATTTATTTATTTTTTTAACTCCTTCTAAACAATTTAATTTCTGCTATTGTCGTCCCGTCACTGTAAGTCTTACGATGATATTTCCGTAATGATGAATTGCAGGTAGTAGGAGACTTTAGTGAAGACATCGGGGCGTACAGTGCCGCATCCAAGCAGTCCAGTGCCAACGCCAACCAATGTACCGTTGTACACAAGAGGACCTCCAACATCAGTCTGAAATATCCCAATCGTACATTCAAATTTGATTTATTTTTTAAGAAAGACATAAAAATTTAATGAAAAACATAAATTGACAAATGATATTTTTACCGAGCACGCGCCAACATAGAAATTAGGTGCAGTGCAGAGTTGGTAATTCTTAATCTTCATTTCTGGGTAGTAACGTTGGCATTCCTCGGTACTAATGTAACGAAGGTTGGCTTTCATGAGGTAAGGCACGGGGTACGAGTTAGGGCTCATGCCGCCCCAGCCAGAGAAAACTACATCGCTATTTGGTGGTATTTCAATGACGTTAGGAAGCTTGATTCGCTTGACAAAGTCCGTTTCGGTCACGTGATTGGCCAACTGCAATATTAAATCGGTTGTTATTCATTACGAAATCGAGAGGTAAACGAAACACTGGTGCCGCTCGGTCAATCAAAATCCACTCACATGAAGTACAACAATGTCGTTTTCGTATGATGCCCATTCGTAGCTCCATCGGTATTCAGGATGAGCGGCGATTTTAGCTACGTAGTGTAAAATTCCCCCTTTCGTCTGATCAGTGGTGCCTACGAGAACTTGTAAGGTGACAGCCGTCGGGGGATTTCTAATGAAATTAAGCACGCAGCTCGCTGATGTAGCTACGTGCTTTGTTGTAATCAGAGCTCCTCCACAGATGTGTCTGCCGTAATGCCATACGGAAACTTGGTACGGCAATTCACCAGGAGCCGCGAAACGTCCTCCTTTAACTCTGTTGATTAAGTGATCCTCCGCTGCGAAACGTCAAGATCGAATGTTTCATATTGATAATGAAAATATTGAAATGTCAGGAAAACGTAAAAACTATCGATCACCAAAACTGCGAGCTCTCAACTTACCGAATGCAACGGCAAATAGAGCCAAGATGTACACTACGTGCTTCATCATTGTTCATCCAAGTTGGTATAAATACTATTCGAAAAAGACAACCTAGATGGGATTTTCTGATCTTTATAAACGATCTAAGTTACTTATGCCTCGCATATGCGGGCAACTGTGTCAATAAAGCACAGTTGTGGAATAAATTACTTTTTCATTTGCAAATATATCAGTTACGTTGTACGTCGAACGCAATTATTTCTTGAATAATTACCGTGGATTCGCGAAACCTCATAATGCATAATACGTAATGCATAGTGCGATAACACAACTTAAAGAATTCGTTTGAGCGTTCGAAGAACTTGGAAAATCGTGCACCGCTATTTCTCGTTAGCTTTAATTCAAAGCTTATCTAACATTCGAAAGAGGTTCATTCGATACTTTCGATGGATTTCATTTTAATGAGCTGCAGCAAAATATTGTGGTTTGCAATTACAAATGGTCTGAAGATACATCTGAGAGCAGACTTTTGTTTAACAACTGAATTATTATGACGGCATGATACAACGAAAACATAATTGTTAAACGCACATGCATTAATTATTATGAGATATTGCTAGATACTCACGAACGAGACAAGTGCATTTCATCAGGGTAGATTCATAAAGTTGCAAAGATGCAAGGCGTTCAAAAATGAAAATTCATGGTATCTGCGGAAAAGAAATTAGACGTTTCATCCGGTTCTCGGGGAACTATAAGAAAAATCTAAGATCTCTGTTAAAGAAAGGAATAGGTCAGCGCGGAAGAAATTCATTGCGAACGAAACAATCAAGGAAACATAGAAGGTCGGGTAGACAAGCGCAGCAGCACAGCCTCGTAATCCCTTTCCTCCTTGCTACAGTAACAGCCGGAGGAGCAGTAGCAGCAACGGCAGCAGCGGCGGCACTTGGCTCTCGCTCGGCTGGGCCCTAAAAGTTTCAATTACGCGCTCGGATGGAAAGCACACAGGAGACGACACTTGGCCAAAACCGCGCGCGCGAGGAACAATCCGTCGCGCGAACAGTGGCGGAGAAAGAGAGAGAGAGAGAGAGAGAGCGAGTCGAGCCACGCGAGTTTATCGTTCATTCAATTCGCTCGAGAGAGCGGATAAGAGAAGTTTTGCCGTGCTAATTGCAAGTTCATGCATATATGGCGGCTAGTGGTGTCGGCGTCGGGATGCAATAGTCATATAACAACTGGAGAAGGCCTTTGATCGAATCTCTCTCTGGCGCTGTTCATCTATGCGTATATGCACAGTAGTGGCGCGACGTATGCATGGGCTAGTAAAGCGCGGCTCTTTACGGCCGATGCAGCCGCGCTCGAAAGCACGTTTTCATAATTCAAAGGCTCGCGTGCGCGAGGCCAGTGCTGTTCGATTGAGGCAGCCCCTCGTAAATCGCAAGCTGCCCTGACAATGCGCTTACATCTCGTAATTCGGGATCGCTGCCAGCTTTACGATATTCCCAGGCTCGCGCTCGCGTCCTCGCGTCCTCGCGTCCTCGCGCCCCCTGCCGCCGTTTAATGCCGGGCTCGCCTGCATTCTTTTGCGCAAGCTGCGGCGGCCTTTCGGACGCTCGAACAACGGCCCCCTCTCGGCAACTCTGTCCGAATACGGACGTAGCCTTCCGATCGAGCTCTTCCCCCGGATTCGGTCTGACGGGGCCTCCGCGCTCGTCGGAGGCCGACGAAAAAGCGGGCGCCTTGGAAACTTGTCGGACTTGTCGGACTTGTCGGCTCACAAGCAAATTATCCCGTTGTGTGCTTTCCTCGCTCGGCCGTAAGTCGAGGTCGCTCGACGTTGTAATAAGAGTGAAACCGAAGGAGCGAGCGGGACCCTGCGGCGTTACAGTGGCGAGGAGAGCGGGGATAATTGAATACAACTTGATCGAGCCGCCCGGGCGCGTTTCCACCCCATTAAATCGAGCTTAAACTCGAGGCTGTGCCGGCGGGGAATCGTTCTGTGCGCCAGCTCGACGAGAAGAAAGGAGGGAGCGCGCGGCTACGGAGCGCAGAGTTTCAGGTTAAGGAGGGTGGAAATGTTTACTGCTCGGCCAGCTGAGGGAGAGCGAGAGAAAGGCCAATCAGTAGCCGAGGCGCTCGTTCACCGCACACGCCGCCTAGTCGTTTCGCTCTCTCGCTCCTCGGCCCCATATAGTTATATAACCAGATTATTCGCCGGCATGGGGACGGATGCCTGGAATTGCTATGTACACCGGCGATGGCGCATAATTCAATGGAATTTCGGCGGCTTTTAAATGCCACCAGACACCATAGACTGCTGCCTTCATTTCGCTGCCAGCTGACTTATGAGGGCCCGTGAAATTGACTCGCGGTCGCATGGAAGCGCGCCGGCCACTGTGACGCTCGTTCAGTCCAATGCTCGCGTCGAAGAACTTTAATTTTCGTCGGCGCTCGTTGCTTTCGACGCGATTCGGATATCGATCGGCGAAACTGCAGCCGAATTGCCCGCCGTTACTTGCCTACGATGTTTTGACGAAACAGCGCCGCATTTCAGCGAAGCCCACGAGCTTTTTCTATTTTTATGCCTACGGCAAATGTCGCTCCATTGAGCCACGTCCCCCTCGTAAATCAGCAGTTAGAATTAATAAATAGACTCTACATAGGGTCAACAATAAAAGAGGTTATTGCATCGCTGTAAAGTTTATTTGTTCGGCGTTGCGCCGGAGGGCGATCCCCTCTCCCCAAGTAGTTTTTAATCCATTCGCTTATTTCCACGCTTAATTGCACGATAAATTCCAAAAAGTAACTACACTGCTGGCCCGAGAGCAAATTTAGTTGAGTCGAGAGCTGTACTATCCAAGTTTACGCAGTTAACAATGCGTTTATAAGTTCATTCGCCGAGGCAAACTCGCCCTCTCTGCTTGCCCGCTCGCTTTTCGCGGCTCGAGATTGAACGCTGCTCGCTCTAACGATTCTAACGCGATAAATCTTTCGATACTCTAACGATTGCCGCCCAAAGCGACGTTACGTCCGTGGCAAAGTCGCTCGCGGACTCTTTTCGCTTCGCGGCCAGACGTTGCGGTCGACGCGCGCCTCGCAAAAGACCAAGGAAAATCGAGAAAATTGAGCGAAGAGAGGCGCGGGGAGAGAGGCACCTCGTGCGCCGCGAGACAAAGGCGCCGTGGGTGCGCAGGCGGCAGGACAAACAAGCAGTAGCTCCCAAGGATTAAACTTTCACTTGACGCCGTAACGAGATAGCTGCATTGCCGGATTTCGGACGTCGGGAGGGAGGGAGAAGGAGCGCGCGCGCACGTGCGCGCGAGCGTGTCAGTGGCTGGCGTTTGACGTTAAGCCGGCCGCGCTACTCGCGGTAATCTCACGGATTACAGCCGCCCGTTCGAAATCTGTTCGTCGTTGTTCTTCGGGCCGTGTGTGCGTCGCCGATTAAATGCCCGCCCATACCAAGCCAGCTGAGATATCGATCCCGCGCATTGACTTGGCTACTGACGCTGCTCTGGGACTGCTGCTGTTGCTGATGCTGCTGCCGCTGCCGCCGCCGCCGCCGCCGCCGCCGCCGCCGCTCGCTACGATTATCGGACCTATCACCTCCAACTCCGCGTTTATTGTCTTTGAGCGCCGATTTGCCGTTAAATCGCAAATGCTCTTTGGACACTCGAGGCTACTTTGATATTCTGCGTGCGCACGTTTCTGTTTCATCTTTGAAACTAGGCCAGGTTCTATCGGCAACGTGCGTTTCTCCTTTTGCGAGCTCCTGATGATCGGCTTATAGTTAATATAACTTTGTATGGCCGGAAAATGGGATTTTTACAAATCCGTTATCTCTTTACACGTGTCAATCGACCAGTCCTTTCAACGGTCATTGCAAAGAGCTTCTTGGTTGATTAGTTTGCATCGCGCACTTTGTGGGCCGGAGTCAGTTAGATTCGGCGAAACGAATCACGTCACTCAGCGTAATGGAAAAATGAATTGGCGCGTTTTTCGGCGGATCGTAAATCGAAGTGGCAGCGAGAGCCGCCGAGAGCGATGCGCGAGAGGGGTTGGGGGGGGGGAAGAGCGAAGGGTAAGGTATGGCGCGCGAGCACCTGTCGACATATCTTAATTCAATAACTCGCCACTTGAGCGGCATCGAAGAATTTCCAATCGCGCCGGCGCTCGCTGCCGGTAGAGAGGTAAAAATCGAATCGACGGGAATTATGCTCGCGTGCACATTGCAAAGCCCAGGAGAAAAAGGAAGTCAAGTTGGTTTTTCGACACCGAGCGGCGGCGGTGGTGTGGCTTTTCACTTTCTTGCCGGCGGCGGCGGCGGCGGCATTGCCGAGATCCGCCAGTAATCCGCTTTGCAGCTAAGTCCCGAGTAGTGCGCGCTCGAAGGATAAATCGAAAAGGCAGAGGAGAGAAAGGAGGCTGCGTCGAGAGGCGGGAAAAGAGAGCGGCGCGCCGATGGCGCAGACGTTGCCGGGGAATCCGATATGTGGGTTATATGCGCACTCGCTCCGACGAAATTAAACAATCCGTCTATATCCATTAAGCGATGCGGGCATGGCTTGCGGCTGTACGGCAGCTGAGAGGGATTAGGGGGCGAGCAGGAGCTTTGGAGCGCCGCGTCCTGTCACGGCTATCTGCCTTCCGAGACGGTGGCGGCCGATAAGGACTCCCACAATTAAAGATCAAGAGTGGATTAGAGGCGCCGGGCCTGTTTGTCGAGCATTCGATTCTTACTACTTGATTTATTGGCCACGCTACAGCTGCCTCGCTTGTCGTCCAAGCCGCCCGCCTCGCCGCTCGCGATTCATCATCCTTATAGTTTTATTTATATTTTATTTCGATTAGCGCTAACCGCTCGCAGTCATTCGTCAACTCGTTACGGCGCAGCTGCCTCGGTTCGGCCCGCACGAAAGCCATCAAATGGCACATGGACGTTACCTCCACTCCATGCATATAACAGGCACGCTGCATTAATAACTTCCTATCAGTTGGAAATTAGCATCGACTCGCCGGTAGTTAGCTCGTGCAACTGGCGCACGTAAAAGCCGGAGCGGCCCTTTTAT